TTTGCTCCGTTAAGGCTGTTCCCTCATCCTCGCTTCACCAAGGCTGTTCCCTCATCCTCGCTTCACCAAGGCTGTTTCCTCATCCTTTGCTCCGTTAAGGCTGTTCCCTCATCCTTGCTCCACCAAGGCTGTTCCCTCATCCTTGCTCCACCAAAACTGTTCCCTTATCCTTGCTCTACCAATGAATGTTTTCCTTCTCCTTGCTTCTTGGAGACACCACACGAATACCATCACACAAATGCTGTACAGGCGCACAGTATCGTGCAGACACCACAGATCATCATCTTTTTCCTGAAGACACCTCACAATATATAATGCAGGCACCAGTCGTACCGTCTCACATGTGATACAAGCTTCTGGCGTACCATCACACAAAAATACAGACATCATTCACATCATCACACAGATAATGCAGACATCACTCACACCATCATAAACATAATGCAGACATCACTCACACCATCATAAACATAATGCAGACATCACTCACACCATCATAAACATAATGCAGACATCACTCACACCACGACACATTTAATGCAGACATCACTCCTACCACCTCAAATGTAATGCAGAAATACCAGCTAAGATTTCATACGGTTACCAGGCATACAATCACAGACTGCAGAACATACTGAACACTGCCATACATTTGACACACACACACACGCGCGCGCGCGCGCGCGCAAACACACACACACAAACACGATCACACATTTTAGTCACCCCCCCCCCCACACACACACACACACACACATCACAATGGTGCTACACCTTTTGATAAAGCCGCCACACAGATCACCACACACAAAGCTACCACACCCAACTCCACACATACACACACACACATACACACACAGACACAACACCCGGCTTTGCCAGCGTCTTGGAGCTGCCGCCCTACCTTGGCTTGTGAATCCATTAACGGGCGGATTCATCATCTGTTTGGTAATCGATGTTACAATTATGTAGATCTGCGGACAGACGCAAGTCAGATTGAATTTCCAAACAGTTGTCCTGTTTATAAACTTGTAAGTGCTTTGATAGTCATCGATCTTTTTTCTTTCTTTCCGAAGACCCAGGGGGAAAAAAAAAGGGGGGGGGGGAGATACGAGCAGTGGGTCGGGAATGGGAATCGGCACCGGGAGTAATAAATGCCTTTCTGATGAGTGTATCCTGTGGTTACTTTAATGAGCTCTTGGTGTTGTCTTACTGTTTGAACAGTTTGTTGAAGTTGCGGAACGAGTGCCTCTAGTCTGTATGGTTCTGAATGGTCAAAGGCACCCAGGCAGCTCAGTGAGAGAATAAATGCAGACACTGCCTGTCTGTTTGTCCTGGACAGGCAAGACCTGGACAGACACGATCTGGACAAGACTTGAACAGACAAGACCTGGACAGACAAGATCTGGACAGACAAGATCTGGGCAAGACTTGAACAGACAAGACCTGGACAGACCGGAACTGGACAGACCAGATCTGGACAGACCAGATCTGGATGGGCAGGATCTGGACAGACCAGATCTGGATGGACAGGATCTGGTCAGACAAGATCTGGACAGTCAGGATCTGGACATACAAAACCTGGACAGACAAGATCTTGGCTGACAAGACCTGGACATACAAGATCTGGACAGACAGGATCTGGACATACAAAACCTGGACAGACACGATCTGGACAGACCAGATCTGGACAGACCAGACCTGGACAGACCAGATCTGGACACATCAGACCCGGACAGACAAGATCTGGCAGACAAGACCTGGACAGACCCGTTTCAAATTTTTCACCAAAAATGGAGGGGAAGATCAAGCTTAGTCGTCAGTGTATGTGTTTTTTTCTTTTTCTTCTTCTTCTGCGTTCGATATCAGTCATGCTAAACATTGAGTCCCGTCTGGGTCACAAATAGGATTGTGCGTTTAAGGTCGCCACCGGTCCCCCATAGCTTCTCTTGCAATGTGGCTCCTTTGGGCCAGATCCACAGTCTTTGCTGGGAGAGGTAAGGGCAGTACTGCAGTATGTGTTCAGGGGTTTGTCTTTCTGCTCCACAATCACAGGCAGCAGATTCTTTTATGCCTATCCTGTACAAGTGTGCTCGAAGACCACAGTGTCCAGTCCGAAGTCTAAGAATTGATGTTTGTTCTTTCCTGTTGAGTTTGTTTATGCTGTCACTCTCTGGTCTGTAATCTCCATTCTGCCTTCTCCACTCCCGCTTGAAAGACTGCTTTAGTGCTGTTTTGGTTTCCTTGTAGCTGTGTGGTGGATGAGGTTGTGGAAGATTACTCCCAGCTTTTGCCAACTCATCTGCTCTCTCATTTCCTTGAATACCACAGTGGGCTGGTATCCACTGCAAGACCAGTTCTGCTTCCTTGGAGAGTAAGCCAATGTTGGTCCTTAGATCAGCAATTATTTTTGTCTTGTTTTTTGCTGGGTAGTGCTTGGAGAACAGACAATGAGTCGCTAAGTATAACAATTTGGTGCCCTCTGTGTTCTTGAGTGATGAGATGTTGGACTGCAGAGAGGAGAGCAGTTGCCTCAGCTCTGAAGTTAGTGCAGATGTCACCTGCTGGTAGAGAGAGAGAGTTTCTGCTCTACTGCTAGGGGGTTTAATGTAAATTCCACAACCCCCCTTTCTGACTGCATCTGTAGCAGAGCCGTCGGTGAAAACCTGAGTCTAAGTGGTGTTTGGATACTTCTCATCAAGCATAGCAAGAGCCAGGGTTCTCTGTTGTGTCTCCGTCTGGGCATCTTTTGAAGTGATTCCTGGTACCTTTAGGACTACATTTGCTTTCTCTGGCTTGCTTGTCCATGGTTCTGGCCTAAGTTTTTCGCACAGTGCAACATCTCTTTCTAGCAAGGTGGTTGGGGATCTGACGCTTCAGTCTGTTTTTTGCTCTCTCTTGAAATTTAAAATGCAGTGGGTGACTTTGAAGTCTTTTTAATTTCTCATACTGTAAAAGAGTTTTGTATTGTCTTCTGAGTTCGAGTGGTTCAGTATCTGCTATCTTTTCTATTTCTCTGATGGGGGTGGTTTTCATGGCTCCGAGAACAATCCTTAATCCCATATTCTGAACCTTGTCCAGTTTTCCCATTGTTGTCTTGGCTGCTGCAGCCCATGCAGTGGAGGCATATTCCATGACTGGCCTGACTGCTCCAGTATATACTTGTTTTAGGATTCTAGAGTTAGCGCCCCATGTTGTACCCGCTAATTTTTTCATAACTGCAAGCTTCTTGAATGCTTTTCCCTGTACTGCTTCTACATGTGACTTCCAAGTTATTCGCGAATCAAGTGTAACGCCCAGAAAGATAGGAGTGTCAGTCTGTGGAATGAGCTGGTTTTTAATCCAAATTTCGATTTTTTCTTTTCTTTTTTTTTTTTTGGGGCAGAGAGAGAAAAGTGATGCTGTGCTTTTTTATTTATTTAGCTTTAGACCCCACTTTTTGGTCCAGGCTTCTACATTTTCCACAGTTTTCTGTAACAGATATGAGGCTGTGGTAGTGTATTCGGAGGCTGTCCAAACTGCAAAGTCATCGGCATGTAGGGTATTAAAAACGTGCTGGTGGCAGGTTGCTGTGATATCATTAATGTAAACCAGGAACAGAGTTGGTGATATAGCACTGCCCTGGGGAACTCCTTCTCTAAGTTTTGCCAGTTTGCCAATGTGTCCATCAATTCTGAATCTGGCTCTCCGTTGGAAAAGAAAGTCTTTGATCCACTTGTACATGTTGTGCACAACTCCTGCCTGTAGCAGTTTTAGTTGTAGGCCTTCTTTCCAAACTATCAAAAGCACGAGAGAGGTCAAAAAAGACAGCAAGAACTTTCTTTTTTTCCTGGAAGGCATTCTCAATTTCCTGTGTCAGATATGTCAACTGGTCCTCTGTATTTCTGTGCTGTCTGTATCCTGTCTGGGTGGTGGTGATTACTGAATTTGTCTCCAAGAACCATATTAGTCTTTTATTTACTAATTTCTCCATCAATTTTCCTACACAACTAAGAAGGCTAATAGGTCTATAGCTTTTTGGGTCTCTTCTGTCTCCACCCTTTTTAAGGATAGGCTGGATGAGGGCTTCCTTCCAGGCTGACGGTACTACCCCTTTTTGCCGTCTCTGGTTGTAGATGCAGAGGAGAAACTTCTTGGCAGCAGGTCCAAGATGAGAGATAAATTCGTTTGTAATGCCGTCAGCCCCTGGGGCTTTCTTCATTTTCAACTCTCCAATTCCAACTTCCAGCTCTTGCATGGTAAACCTTTCTGACATGCAGGCCTCTTTTGTTTTTGTGCTAAAGTCTGCTAGAAGAGTCTTGATCTGGTTTCGTACTTCTTTTATTCTTTGCATGGGAATATGAACCTCAGTTTCCTTCTGGTGTGTTTCGGCTAGCACATCTGCTGCTACCTTGCCAGTAAACGATCCATCGTCTGTTTGGAGTACAACTATGGCTTTTTTCGTCTTGTCTCCATTCAAGCTTTTTGTGAGATTCCACAGACGTGAAGTGTCCTTCTCGAGGTTAAATGACGCTGTCTTTTTGTGCCAGCTTTCCCTCATCTTATTATTTCTCTCTCTGACGAAGGCTGCTTTTGCTCTGTTATGAAGTATTACATTTTTATCTGTCGGATCCTTCTCCATATTTTCCCTCCTGGTACTAAGTTTGGAATGCAGAGTGTCCAGTTCAGGCGACCAGTAAGGTTTAAAGTTTTTCCTGCTGCCTCGTGGTATGTTACCCTTGGCTGCATTTAGAATAGTTGTGTTGAGGATCTTCAGTTTGGCATTTATTTCCAGTCTTCTGAAGAAGACTCTCCTCAACATGTCGTCCAAATAGGAAGTGAAAAGGCTCCAGTTAGCCTTCTTGTAGTTCCAGCTGGGAGGGTTCTTTTCCTTAGTAACTTTTCTTGTATGTGTTTTAAAACCCCATTGTTGGGGAAGGGGTTAGACCCCTCAATGCTAACAGTATCCACCCCCCCCCCCCCCGAGTACTGATTGGTCTATAGAATAAGTCTAGCCTTATATGCCCTGTACGCGCGGAAGAGGGTCCTTTTACTTTATCCATGACCAAACATCCAGTTATCTTATTTGTTTTTCTGTTTGTAGACTGCCAATTGACGAGTGCGAACTGGTTCTGGTGCATACAGTTCCCGTGGGACAGGACATCCGGGTCACAGACAGACCACTTAGACAGGTGAGGCACATCCAAGCATGGTCTTTGCTCATTCTAAAACAATCCAACATCAATTTGTGATCTTCCTCTACCTCTGTGCCATACTGTCTAGGCTTTACACTCGTCTTCCTCTTCTTCTTCCTCTTCTTTTTTCGTCTTCTTCTTCTTCTTCTTCTTCTTCTTCCTCTTCTTGTTGTTGTTCTTGTTCTTGTTATTGTTCTTCTTGTTCTTGTTATTGTTCTTTTTCTTCTTCTTCTTCTTCTTCTTCTTTTTTTTCTTCTTCATCTCTTCTTCTTTTCCTTCTTCTTCTTCTTCTTCTTCTTCTTCTTCTTCTTCTTCTTCTTCTTCTTTTTCTTCCCTTATATCCTTCTCCTCCTTCTTCTTCTTCCTCGTCTTCACGTTCATCGACTGCAAACTTAGGCGGAAAGTTCTGTTTGTTCATCCATTTCTATACTTTAATCTTCTTCCAGAATCTTAGTCATGTGTCCACATCCGTTCTACAGATCTTGTTTATTTCTATGCAAGCCGTTGGTTCAGACAGATGCACTCCGGCTTCAAAAAAAAAAAAACATTATTAATTAGTCGATTCTCATTGGGTTCCTCTCCCCCCCCCCCCCCCCGGTGAAGATGAGAAGGTAGTGGGACAAACATGGCGAAGATAAAATGTAAAGGGATAAACATAGCGGAGATGAGAAGGTAGAGGAACAAACATGGTGGAGATAAGAAGGTACAGTGACAAACATGGCGGAGATGTTAAGGTTGAGTGATGAACATGGCGAAGATGAGAAGGTAGGGGGACAAACATGGCGGAGAGGAGAAGGTAGAGAAACAAACATAGATGAGAACGTACAGGGACAAACGTGGCGAAGAGGAGAAGGTACAGGGACAAACATAGCTGAGATGAGAAGGTAAAGGAACAAATATAGCGGATATGAGAAGGTACAGGGGCAAACATGGCGGAGATGAGAAGGTACAGGGACAAACATAGCGGAGATGAGAAGGTAAGGGGCAAAACATGGCGGAGATGAGAAGGTAGGGGGCAAAACATGGCGGAGATGAGAAGTTAAAGGAACACATATGGCGGAGATAAGATTGCACATCCATCAAGAGTGTCATACATTGCTTAGGACACAATCACGTGCTCGCCAATCTGACTAATCACGTGACAAAGTGGGCAGAAGACTAATCACGTGGCCATGACGTCAGCGTGGTAATCTGATCGCAACTGGCGGTGATTTTGTTGTGCTCCCACTGGGGTGGCTTGTTTGGATAAGGTTACACACAGGTGTCCGCTTACTGGTTGCGTCCACACCCTCCCCTCCACCTCATAGTCTTCTTATGTTGTGTATACGTGAGTGTGTTTGCTTGCTGTACATTTCGGTTACTTCCTCTTTGTGTTTTCTCTTTCGCTGGATGTTTTTGGTGATTGGTCGCTTATATAGAGCTCCTGGGTGGGGAGAGGGGGGGGGGCTGGTGATAGTTAGGTTTGTTCATGGCACTCGATGTTGTTATTGATTGGTTCGGCTTCTTCTTCTTCTTCTCTCTCTCTCTCTCTTTCTCTCTGTCTCCCCCCCCCCTCTCTCTCTCTCTCTCTCTCTTCTGCCCTCTCTCTCACTTCCCCCATCCTGTATGTGTCTCTCCTTTTCCTACTGTCTATTCTTTCTCACACTTTCCCCCCACTTTCCCCTCTCTCCTGTCTCCGTCTGTTTGTATGTGTGTTTTTTTTTTTTTTTGGTTCGTCAGCCTCTGCCTGTGTTGGCAAAAGAGCATTGTACGACTCCATGTCTGTCATTGTTCAAGTAATAATGAGGAGGGAGGCATTGCACAATATCTTGACAACTGAGAAGATGAGTTGAAAAGGGGATAGAGGCAGACCAAGAGAGATGATGCTGGATGGGCTGAAACGATGGCATATCATCAAGAGAGCTGTTCCAGGCAACCAGGCATCGTGGTATGTGGATCGTCACCGGAGCTACATCGTTCGTGCTTTGTGCGGCGCTCTCGACAGGCGGCCAACCGTTCTGTGGAAAGAAGCCCAGCCATGTGGATTAAAACCTGGAACCATAAAAATTGATCCTGTCGACTTCAACTTGTAACTTCCACCTGTAGCCATTTACTTTAACCTCTAACTGTAACCGTTAACGTAACCCTCTAACTGTAAAAGATGTGTACACCCATGTCTGTCTTGTGGCCCCCCAGGTGAGCTCCCAACTAAGCATGGAGGTCTGCTGCTCGCCCTCGGGACGCCACATGTACAACAAGCTGGTGCACCTCTGCTGCCGCCACTTCCAGCTCTGCTCCACCACCGTCACCGGCATCCCCATGAAGGTCAGTGGCTGCCTGATGCGGCAAGCATCCCTGTCTGTCTGTCTGTCTGTCTGTCTGTCTGTCTGTCTGTCTGTCTGTCTGTCTGTCTGTCTGTCTGTCTGTCTGTCTGTCTGTCTGTCTGTCTGTCTGTCTGTCTGTCTGTCTGTCTGTCTGTCTGTCTGTCTGTCTGTCTGTCTGTCTGTCTGTCTGTCTGTCTGTGTCTGGCGTTGTTCAAGTCTGTGTCTGTCACTGTCCAAGTCTGTGTCTGTCACTGTCCAAATCTGTGTCTGTCACTGTCCAAATCTGTGTCTGTCACTGTCCAAATCTGTGTCTGTCACTGTTCAAGTCTGTGTTTGTCACTGTCCAAGTCTGTGTCTGTCACTGTCCAAATCTGTGTCTGTCACTGTCCAAATCTGTGTCTGTCACTGTCCAAATCTGTGTCTGTCACTGTCCAAATCTGTATTTGTCACTGTTCAAGTCTGTGTCTGTCACTGTCCAAGTCTGTGTCTGTCACTGTCCAAGTCTGTGTCTGTCACTGTCCAAGTCTGTGTCTTTTACTGTCCAAGTCTATGTCTGTCACTGTCCAAGTCTGTGTCTGTCACTGTCCAAATCTGTGTCTGTCACTGTCCAAATCTGTGTTTGTCACTGTTCAAGTCTGTGTCTGTCACTGTCCAAGTCTGTGTCTGTCACTGTCCAAGTCTATGTCTGTCACTGTCCAAGTCTATGTCTGTCACTGTCTAAGTCTGTGTCTGTCACTGTCTAAGTCTGTGTCTGTCACTGTCCAAGTCTGTGTCTGTCACTGTCCAAGTCTGTGTCTGTCACTGTCCTAGTCTATGTCTGTCACTGTCCAAGTCTGTGTCTGTCACTGTCCAAGTCTGACGCGCAAGTCAGTCATTAGTATCAAGATGGAAACGCTGTTATACTCTTCTTCTTTCTCGCGTTTACCAGCTGTGAACCCCATCGGGATTTTCTGGTTTTTCATTCACTGTTCGACTTTAGTCTTTATCTAGAACAGATTATAGGAGAACTGTGCACGTGCTGAGAGGCCGATCGATCAGTTTGCGCCCTCTGGCTACCACGTATAGGTTTACTAAACCGTCCTGCGATTGAAAACAAAAATCACAGTCTAGACGCCAGATCAAAACGACAGTTCCAAGATACCCAGTTCAACCTTCAAAGAAGTTAGAATGTGTAATTGGTATACCTGACAGCCTTTTGTCATTGCACAAAGGTGTGTCAGCACACGAACTGATACATGCAGTTGCGGATAGCAGATTTAGGAGAGGCATGATCGGCCACACCAGTTGGCATGGCACTTGATGATGATGATACCAGTCAGGTGCAACCTGCAGTCCTGTCAGACTAAGAGTGAGACTAAGATGGCCATTTCTCATCAAGAGCAGAAAATTAACAGTTATCAAAGGCCGTCTTTAGTGTGGGCCAAGGGGCTGTAAAACGTGGGCCAACAAACTTTATTTTTTCACCTGCGTGTAATTACATTGCTTTCTATTTACATTTCCGAAATGAGCCTGCGAATTGTTCTGTACCTGAGTGTAGGTCGATTTATCATTCTTGAAGTGGATATGTGAGTGTGTTCAAATTTCCTTCAGATGATCATTTAAGATAAAGATAGCTGAAATGTATTATATACATACGGAAACAGCCCTGAGTTATCCTACACATGGACAACACAAAACCTCTGTAAATGTGAGAATTTGGCGGGAATGGTAATTGAAACAACTGCGCAGTTATGTGAATATTGTTTTGTTTTTTGTTTTATTAACCCCGATAAAGTTAAGTGAACTTGTTTCTCCGCTGCTAAACACTAGTCCAGCTGTGGCACGCCAGGGGAGAATTATATGTTCAAAAAAATCATTTTAAAACGTTGTCTTCTGTCAGCTTTCAGTCGATCGTGAGATGCTGGTTTTAGTTTTCTGCTGGCTTTTTCTTTGTACTCCGCTCTCTTCCCTTTCCTTCCGTCTTGGCGTTCCCAGTGGGCTTTGGTCAGAAGTAGCGGCTCAGTTTCTGGCCGTGCGATCACGTATTTGTAATGTCGTTCTTCTCTCCCTTGGCGAAACCAGTCTTACCGAGTTATCCCCCTTAAAGGTCCGCTGGAAGATAAGGCAGAAGATGAAGCTGTGCCCACACGACACACGCGCACGCGCGCACACACAAACTGACTCTACAGATGGCTAGTTTATTTCCTGATACCGTTGATCAATTCTTCTCTAAAGTTTCTGTCTTTGTATATCAAGTTGTCGTGTCATTGTATTTACAGAGAGCAAGGGGTGGCGTGTAGAATCTGACCCAAACCTGGGCTCATTTCAGTTAAAACAGCCGATTATTTTACTGTATTTTCTTGCTTGAGTATCCTTGTTCCGTATCTTCTTCCGCCTGTAATCCTCCAGTGAAGCATGGGCCCTCAACCAAGTGACGTCAAGTCGTTCTATCCTTCGCTATTGCATGCAGCTCTCACCAGGTCCTACCCATCTTTTTCCCGTCACTCTCTAGCTACCTTCTCCGTATGTGTGTGTGTGTGTGAATGAGTGTGTGTTTATCTGCCTTTATTTTTATGTCCCCGTGCAAAGACATTCCTGTTAAATTAATGTCCACCCCCTCTAGAGACAGATATCAAGTGGGAGGTTGAAGATAGAATCTGCTCAGAAAGCACTGAAATTGAGAGAAGTCATGGGTTACACAGAAACCGACCGACGCGGCTTAGGACAAGGAAAAGTCACATGGTGGTCCAACCCCTCGGCCAAAGGACGCAGAGACATGACAACACAGTATATTAGGGATTCCGAAAACAGATTCAGGTCCAAAAAAGCAGTCCAGCAGTCGCAGCAAGGTCAGTGGATCGCCCTCGACAACGCCTTGCCACGAATACTCACATGGGGTAAGATGTGGCGAATGGCCCCGCTGCGAATGAGCTTTGTCATTTTGGAGTTTAAAATCAACATGGCCAAATGGCGTGCGACCACCGACCCGACATGTCCTCTATGCAGAGCTAAGCAGACTCTCGAGCACGTATTGTCCGCGTGCAGAAAAGGTTAGGGATGACCTACAAGGCGCCACAACAAAGTCCTGAAAGAGTTAGCGATCATTGTGGACCGAGCCAGAATGAGGACCAACGCGAGGGTCGGTCATAACGTCCCCCCATGCGCTTCCTCAAGGCTGGGTAGTCGCAAATGCTCCATCAACACTTGACTATGCGAGGGACTGGTTACTGGCGGTCGACCTGCCTGCTTTCGAGAAATAATCCGAAAGACATGGTTCTGTACTCTACGGCTAAATGCCAACTCACCCTGGGATGGAAGAATATCCCCTGTACAAAATCGAAAAGTACTATACGACACCAAACCTCACAATATTTGTAAAGCCACCATTTCGTCTTGTCCGAACGTCCGTTGAACGCAGCAGGAGCTGTCCGAGGTCTGATGTCATGAACCAGGCCGGCCGGCTCTCCGAGATTGTCTAGGATGATAATGGGTGGAAACAACTGTTGACGAGGGACTTTTCTTGAACTGATGATGGGTTCAGCTCTGCTCTGCATGCTCCCGCTGCGGAGTTCTTCTGATATATTCCAGATGTTCTCAAATGCTGCCCTATTCAACACCAGCGTCTTTTCTTCACCTCTTGGTCCAATGGAGCTACTGCTGCTAATGCTACTACTACTGCTGCTGCTGCTGCAACTACTACTACTACTACTGCTACTACTACTACTACTACTACTACTACTACTACTACTACTACTACTACTACTACTACTACTACTACTACTACTACTACTACTACTACTACTACTACTACTACTACTACTACTACTACTACTACTACTACTACTACTACTACGACGACGACATCTTCTTCTTCTTCTTCTTCTTCTTCTCCTTCTTCTTCTTCTTCTTCTTCTTCTTCTTCTTCTTCTTCTTCTTCTTCTTCTTCTTCTTCTTCTTCTTCTTCTTCTTCTGCTTCTTCTCCTTCTTCCGCTTTCGAGGAAGATATACGTTTGTGTTTTTTGCTCTTCTGGCCACCTCAACCATAAGCACATTATGCTGTTTTTCTCTGATGTCATCTTTCCATCTTGTTCTTGGTCTCCGTCTTATTTTATGCCCATCCCTTCTTTCATTGTTTGGTATATGTGTTACCTATTTATAATACTAGTAGAATCTCAGCGACAGAAACAATAATAGCCACCATAATAACCACTAATGGCAGTAACATTGGTATTGACGTTGATAATAACAAAGTTATTAAGCAAAGCAGCGCAGGCAGAGTCAGCTTTGTGTGGATAAGCTCTGATAGAACCAAGGACACAACTTAGGACCACTGACCCCCTCACATCTCTCACAGGGCAGTTTCTGTACGCGAATGCAGACCAGAAAATTTGATCTAATTTGGTTACCCCAACTTGCTTGATTGTCTGTCCGTGGGCCGGCGTTATGAGAGGAATCAATTATTTTATTGTAATTAGTTTCCACACGACCCCATCTCCCTTAGTTCTTGTTTGCTCTGAGATGTTCAATGTGGTCACTCTTACGCCCTTCCCCCCTCCCCGGCTCCCTTTTCTTCTTTCAGTTTGTTGTTGTTTTAGTATCCAGAAGTCATGAGTTGTTAACCCTTAGGCTCGGTATTATGGATATCGCAACCTTTCGGCCTCGATTCCATTGTAAATACCGTCAATCTGGGGGAAAATGTGGCTTTCCTGCCTACCCACGGGATTGAACCCGGACCACAAGGAGTACGTCACCCGGTCTCCGCGAAATCCGGTTTAGCCAATTCCGTCAGAGAGCCGGGCTTCTTCTTTCAGTAGGAGCCTGTTTGTCTCGCCGTATGTGTGTGTATGTGAGTGAGTGACGTTAAACCACATCAGAACCGCACAGTGCGTGATTAACACTCGATGACAAAAAGTGCCACCATTCGGATGAGAATCTTCCATGCGCAAGTGCCAGAAAGCCCGTTCAACCATAGGTTACATCACGGTCTCCAACAACAGCATGAGTCTGGTTTTAAAAGTGTAT